CATTATCATGAAAAAATATATATATATATAATTGATGTTTTTAAGTCATTACATTTTGCTTTGGTTTGACATCCAGCAGGTGATAATGGAAACAGAAGTAGATGAAATCATGACACAGAAAAGCATTTTTTAAATTTACAAACACACTCAAATTGATCACAATGCCCTAATGAATCTAATAACATGACAAACCTGGAGCATATTCATAAAGAATATGATACAGATGTCTAACACAAATCAATTGCATTGGAAGTTCTTGAAAATGGCTAACATGAAGACTTTCACGGCTACCATTTATTGATACTTGCTGTATAATAGGCATCGTATGAAAAACTTTATAAACATTATTTCAACAATTTCTTAAATAGAATGGATATTCTTCCAATGAGGGGACTGAGTATAAAATAGACATGTCACTCATGATCCGATCATGGGATATGTGGGAGAATTAACTTGTAAAGACAGTTCTAATTCAAATGTCTTGTATCTCTTGTTCTATCTATTTCCCAATATTATTTCAAGGATGCTAACTCTATCCTAGTTTGGAAAATCCCTCTCATCTTTTATACAGGTGAGTAAGTGTGCATTTGGTTTCTGAGTGCGTGAAAATGCCAATTATGTTTTCTGAGTGTGTTTCCAATAGAATTAGAAGCCTTAACAGGGTTCAAATCTTGTAATAAAACTTCCCCAACGTACTATGAAAGAAGCTAGGGTGGCAAAGTGGGTTGTACCTTGACAGTTAACCCAATGTCAGCAGTTAGAAATCACTGGCTGTTTCCATGAAAAAGACCATGCTTGCTGCTTACATAAAAAATATACAGCCTTGGAAACCCTGCGGAGCAATTCACCTTAGTCCAGCAGGGTCCCTATGATTCAAAATCAACGCAATGTTGATGATTCTACTTGTTTCTACTGACTATGAAAGATCTGCATCATGTATCCTCTCACACCCAGCTCATAACTGTTGGGTTCTTGTTTACAAATCAATACATATTTTTTCCTCCCAGGAATGCCTCCCAAATCCTCTCCCCCCCCCCCCCCCCCCCCCCCCCCCCCCCCCCCCCCCCCGCGCCCCAAATCCTCTTTATAAAATGGCTTTTCTAAGAGAAATTTTGTTTTAATTGCTGTCATAGACAAACTAATTTAGACACCTTTAGGTGATATTTTGTTCTACAGATTTCATCTTTCAAAGGCTGAATTGTGACTTTGATTGTGACTGTGAAGGGTAAAAAGAAAATAGATTTGATCTCATGGGGAGTGTGAAAATTTGAGGTGGATGAGTAATAAATGATAAGCACTAAAACATCCAGGTGATTTTCTGAAATATTTAGAAATTAGGAAAATTTACTTTTGTAGTTTCCTAGATTCATAAAAAGTCAGAGTAAGGTAAGTTTTGGAAGAATTTCCCATAATTCTTGAATAATGCCTTTAACCTTCATATCCGGAAATTTTACATATAGAATAATTAAATTACCCAGGAAAGTTAAAATGCACAAATGTGTGTATTTTACTCTGAAGAATAGTTTTGCCAAGGATAAATATGTATAGAGATTATTTTCACAAAACTGAAAATATTATTTATATTTTTTAATATTCTAGTATGGCACGAAATATCATTCAGAAAATTTAAATGCTGATGCTATATGTAGCACGAATCTTAGAAGACACATTATTAGGTATACTCTAAATAAGGAGACATTGTGTTAGAGAATGGATTGGTTTAAAAATAAGATGGAAACAGTTTTCTAACATATTGTTTCCTTATATAGCAAAGATTTAGCTTTGGTTTCTTTTTCATTGAATATTCCATAGCTCACTATAATTGTCCTTCCAATGAAATATAGGATCTGGAAAGAACAAACGCAGAATGAGAATGCCTTTCTGTTCCCTCTTTAAGCCAACCAACAAAGTAATGCTATTTTTCTTCTATACATGTAAGCACTTGGAGGACGCGGTAAAGCTTACATTGAAAATGAGTCCCTTGAAGGATTTGGCACTTAATAATTTTCTTTTATTTTAAGAATGAGTCACATTTTACAGTGGTTCAGAATAAAAAAAGTGAAAGAGGTCTTTTAAAAAGAATACAAAGAATGATGATCTTCTCCCCTTTACAATTGTGAGATCCAAAAAAGTAATAAAACTTATGAGGTTTCACATAATTTGTGAAAAAAATTGCATTGTGTTTTAATTCCATTTTTCCATTTGATTCCATTTAGTTATCTTTTTTCACTATTTTTTAAAAAAGTTTCCTGTAATAAAGAGGGAAAAATACAGCAGGGAATTCTTAATGATTACAGATTGTCACTGAAAATTATTTTTCCAATCCAGTGGTTCTCAAATTTCAGTGTTTATTATGTACACTGAAATTTGAGGACTGAGGAGTTTAATTAAAACATGATCACTGAAAAGGTCAATTAAAACCTAGACCGCAGGTATTGTTCCACACCCTTCTGATTCAGTAGGCCCTTGATAGACTGATGCATTTACATTTCTAACAAATTCTCAGGTGATGCTGACGGTCTGTGAAACCAGTGTTCTATTAGTTAACTCTTTTAACTATCAGTTAACTCTTTTAACTATCAGTTAACTCTTTTAATTATCAGTTAATTCTTTTAAGTATCAGTTAACTCCTTTAATTATCAGTTAACTCTTTAAACTCTGACTTTGGAAATGTGTAGACATCAAAAGAGTGTGACTCAGGATGAAATAAGATGTCAGAAAATATATTCTTCAATTGAATACGTAGATATATGTTTAAAGTTTAACAAAGGAAAGAAAACTAAAGTTTCTAAAGTCAGGAGCATACTCAATGCAGAGATAGCAATTGAAATAAACATAAAGTGCAACACTTTATTAAAGTAAAAGTATCTTTACTATTAATATACAAATGGTGAAGAGTGACAATTTTGATATACTGTAAGCCATACTTTCCATATCTCTCATAAATACAAAACTTCAACATTTTCAGTATAATTTTTACAGTTTAGACATATATATATACAGCATTTCATAGGGACATACTATATTGAAACAATAAGAAACGTGTGGTACCCAACTTAGGAACACAGAATTAGAGTGGTATATATAAGGTAAAGAAAATAGAAAATAGTGTGTTTTAATGCATTCTGAACACAGCATAAAATTCATATCATGCCTCAAAATCAATCTTTATTTTTAAGTACTTCACATAGCCCTATCAGAATTTAGAGGCAAACACTAGGCCATGAACATTCCTTTAATGGTTGGAATCAAACAAATTTGCTCCTTATAATATAATTTGTTGTGCATTTTGAATGCTGTGCTCTAAATAAATCCCAGTTGAAAAATTGAATCAAAGGTTCTCTTACTGTTAACTTTTCTTCTGGGTTTCACCAAATTTTATCAGTGTTGTTGTTCTAAATTTTTCTCTTAACAACGTTCCTAATCTCTTGCCCAGTACCAAACACATCTAGCTCTTATTAATTCAAATTATAAGATTTCAGTTCAAGATTCTTTAGTTCTTTGTATCGCTATTATCTGGTTATGATTTGAAATGCTCCAATATTCATTGTTTTCATTACTCAATTCCAAAAAGACCAAAACCAGATGCTGAAAGATTCATTTCAATTTCAGGAAAATAAATTGAAGCTGCAATATTTATATTAATAAAAGTAGTCTTTCCACCGAACATTCTGAAGGCTGATGGTCAAAGTCATAAGAACTATATAGCAAACACCCTAAAAAGAGGTGATTTCAACCAATATATTTAATGTATTTGTAAAATACTACACAGAATAATTAAATATTTCTTTAACAAGTTTAAATGTACTTTAAATACATACTTCAGCACAATGTTTGTCTTTGACATTCATATAAGAGATACTAATTGATTTACTATCATTCTTGTACATTGTTGAATACCTGCATCTACATGGTAAATTCAATTTTTGAAAACGTAGAAAGAAATTCTTATTGAAGGATATCTATTCAGCAATTACTATTTTAGGTCTTTTTTTATAGCTTCCATTTATAGCTTTGTGTCATCTCAGTACATAACTGAAACCCATGAGTAGAATATCTTCTTGAATTACTCTATTTTATTTGTGAAGTTTAATTTATATGACATTTCATATTTCAATTTTAGATGAAGTCAGTGTGTTCCTATGACATATCAATGTGAGTGCATGTAAAAATGCTTCATAGGGTTAATAAAATATGAAAAACTATTTCCTAAAGACAAATAATGTTAATGATTTCATTTTTCAAAAATAACTGTTTACCTAACCATAATGGTTATTCACTATTGATACAACTTCATATGGTATTCATAGTGAGTATTTTCATTATAGTCTATTTAAAAGAACATTGAAAATTTTATAAAAATTAAAATATTGTATTCCAGTATTTCAGAAGTTAAGGGATGAGGATTATTATTCCTATCACTCTACTGCAAATATTTTAATCAGTTGCAAATATTTTAATCATCAATAATAAACAATAATTTTCGAGCCCACATGAAATTTATCTCAGTAGGAGCAACGTAGACTAAAATAAAACCATCATAATTTACCCTATTTTAAAAACTCATCTGTTGTCTTACCACTGGGAAAATTCAAATTCAGCAATGTCTACAATGCATTTATTGTCTAAAACAACAATATAAAACAAATTAAGTGTATCTCCTGTGAGTATCCAATGAAAAATTTCGTCACAAGTGAAAATAAATTACATAGCATAACTTGCCATATTTAGATTTAAATATCTGGCAATGTAACAAATTTAGTTTATTCACTGAAAGAAAATAAAATGCATCCTTCAAATGTCACAAATATGAGCAATGCAATGTAAAGATAATGGTGTGCATATGTTTTGCCTTATTTTATTTAACAAAGCAGTGCCATGCTAATTCAAAGACACAAATGCATCTTAATTAAAATAAGCATAAAATAAAATTATAATTTTAAATTTACAATGAATTTTCTCAATGAAATAAATACTTTGATTAACATACCCTTCTAGTTATATAAATATTCAGCTCAAAAATTTAAAGTTGCCTAGATTAAATATCCTTTTAAAAGAAGGTTTCTAGAGTTGTTAATATTAAAGAAAATATAAAATTAATGAATATTACATTAATGTTAGACATTAATCACAATTGGATAACAGATGTCTCATTCAATAATAATAATAAATACATCTTTAGAAATAACAATATTTCATTAAATTGCTTTGTAAATGGTAGCAAAAGGGTAACAAATAAATTTGTGTCAGTTTTATTTTAAAAGAATATTTCCCTTAAAATGCTTATATTCTTTTCCCCTTTATATGTTATTTAATATAGATTGTCATTGCCTAATTGCACAAAACCTATCATGAAATACCAACATTTTCAGTAACATATTGGTTTGTTGGTTAAAATTAGTGTAGATTTCAGCTTATTTGGACAGTCAACTCTTTTGATATTTTATACTAACACTTAAGATAATTCTGAAACAATAAAATTAATAGTTATACAGTTAGATGGAGCTGTTTAATCTAGAATAAAAATGAAAGTAAGAAATTATAACTTCAGTTGTACTCCTATTTTACAGTTGACAACACCCATCTCTTAGGGATTGCTACAAATAGAGTAATTTGGAGCATTCCATTGAAATGTTAAAATAAAAATCACAGTTTTGCCTAAAATGGCATAGATTCCAAGGACAAGAAGTGAAGGACCATTTGCACAATAGAAACAGTGCACTTGAAACACTAACTGTAATTAGCTTGAGTTTATCTCTTTATCTCACATAATTACCTGACATGCATGGCAAGAAATTTAATCAAATGATTTGGTCTACATGGACAATCTAAAGAAATGAGGAAAACAGAAGTATTCAAATAGAAGAAACACAAAAATATTTTGTGTTATTGTTTAATTCTGTTCTCGAATATAACAAATATAACAATAGGAAACATCCTAAATCTCTTTCCAGCTTTTCTAAGTCTTTCTTCATCATTATTTCTGAACAATCTCTTCTTAATGTTAACACTATGTCAATAAGAACATAATGTTAATTGCCGTTACTTCATAGACACTGAACCCATTTGCACTTTGCACGAATTCAAATGTTTTGCCTAGTTTTAGCTAAATAAAGTGAACGAATAAAATAAAGCAAAACAGATGATCAAACATAACCTAAATAACAACAGTCGAGTACTGAAGAAACCAGTTAGTCAACTTTGTCAAAGTGATTGAACAGGTGTATCTGTTTAGACTCAACTCAAACTTGTAGGTAGGCACAGAAATTCTTCTCTTTTTCTTCAGAATACCTCAGCAAGGTTAGCATGAGTGATGCCTTACTTGTAGCAAGGACATGGGATATTTAGTGCCTCAATATGCAGATGCTCATATACTGTCTTGCTGATAGCCAAAAAAAAGTGAAGAATGATGTATAATAAACTGTCTTTCCTTGGCTGACAATTCAAGCACTTTGTAAATAAAAGTGGTTTAGTGGCATTAATATTAGATTTAATAGTTATTATATTATCTCTATAGAGAGATACCCAAAGCAGCTAGTTCTGCACTGCTAAACATTTCTCCAATATTCTACTGGAACAAATCGTCTTGCCGGTGAATATTTGAATGAATCCCATCTGAAACACTAAAGGTTATCAATGCTGAAGGGACGACAGGATTTTGATTCTCCGGGGAGAAAATAATCTAAAACTTGCTCCCAATTAGCATGTATATTTATAATCAGAAATATATATTTTAACTTAATAGAAATCAAAATCACATCTCAGTCTTTTGCCTCAGGGAGCTTGCATAGCTTGGAAGTTAATATGTATTTTACTCTGGATTAGTTTCCAACAAGTGATATTAGAAAGTTTACATTGAATAAATAAAGAATTTCTTTAACCAAAATTAATTATCAAAATTTTAAAAATGACTCCAACTACAACATCCAGAATAAACATATATAGTGGGAAGTCAATTGTTTGTCATTGACATGCTAAACATGTATAAACATTAAAGAGTTTTATTTAATTTTAGCCAATTAAATTTGATGGTTGATTTAAACCACAAAGAATATGTGTTTCGAACAAATATTGTCTAAAACTATAGGATTAAAAAATGTATATAAGGCTATGATATTAATTGTTTGAACAGTAGAGACTTGTTTGAAAATGAAAAGGTAATGACATACTTATAAATATATAAAGACATTGATATTGTTCCCGTTTCAATTTATTTTATTTGAAGCTGAGGGCAGAAATCAATATTATTTTCATTCGCAATATATTTAATATTTGCGTAATCCATTTGGAATGAATATGGCATATATAAAGACACAGAATTTTAGGGGCCATTCTAATCCGGTTTCACACACAACTAATATTCTTTTAAATGGGTAACAACTTTGATCTGGCACTTCACACTATCAAAAATCAACATGGAAATAACACTATAAACATGGAAATCTGGCCCTTTTGAAACCCTGGGTTTCCTTAACATATGTTGATAAAAGTACTACTTTTATTAAGTGCTTCATCCTAAACCGAAAAGCCACTTTAGTGATCTAATTGCCCAAAATAAGACTCAGCAACATGCAGGGCTTTCCTATCCATTTATCTCCCAAAGCTTTTCTTATTGTTGTTGCTGCTATTTTGTTTTGTTATGTTATTCCTCTTTGTGCTAAAGTGGCTATGGTATGAATACAGTTCTTAGGAAATAAAGCACTCTATCATATAATAAATTGTAGATCTATCACTTCATCCAATTGGTACCCAAGTGTTGGTGCCAGTCAGATATCTGTATTAAAATTCTTAATAAAATAAACAACAACAACAACAACAAAAGGAAAAGAATCATGGACAGAATTATTTGATTATATGTGTATGTGTACAAGCTATTCCAAGCTAAAAGTTTCCCAAGAAATTAAGGTCAATGGAATAGTTTTGGTCATAAGGGTCACTGTAATCCATCTACTCTTTGCCGGGATGTTCAAGCTGCTGCAATCTGTAGTTAGTTAAGCTTTGCTGTCATCTTCTTTTGATTGTATATCATTGGCAACTTTAATTTCTATAGTTTCTGGATTCAACACCTCTTTCCCATTTTCTTCTTTTAAAGGCAATTTTCTAAAAAGAAATAAAAAATTAATAATATACTTAATTTGTTAAGGTTAAGCAAAATCTTCTAATGTTTAAATTATTGTTTTGTAGAAAGAAATATGCTATATGTCTTGTGCATTTAGAGTTAATAAAATTACATGTAACAAATTTGGCTAAAGCAATATCAAGTTGCTAAAAAAAGTTCAAAAAAGTAAACAATTATAAAAGATGGAGACAATTCAGAATGACAAGTGGAATCATATCTCCATAGATTTAGTAATGCTAAATCTTTCATTACCAGATGACAAATTTAAAAATCACTGTTGAACATTTTCTTCTTGTATTCATTGTTATGAGCTCCCAATCCAGCCTCCCCTCCCCTCCCACTCACCTCCCCTGCCATGATTCAAGGTAATTATTAATCTAGTTACTGTCTCTATATATCAACCTATCTTAGATTTCATTCACAGAAAATCATACAAAACAAAACAAAAAGGAAGAAAACAAACAAAAGACAACAATAATAAGACAGAACATTTTTTAAAAAACAGAAAAAACTAATAATTGAAACATTTAAATGGGGTCCAAGAGGAGATCAAAAGATAAATTATTAGCTTTTAACTTAACTGCATCTGCAATAATTAACTTTACAATGCTCTTTGTTTAATAGTAAGGGACTCACTTGAAGCTTAATCCATGTGGGGACCCTGCAACTGGATTTTGTCAACCACACCCAAACCAAATACTGCCATCAAATTAATCCTAATGACCTCCTGTGGGTTTCTGAGAATGTAACTTTTGAAAGGTGTACAAGGCTCAGTCTTTCTCCAGAGGAGCTGTTGGTGGTTTGGAACAGCTGACCATGTGGTTCTCAGCCCATTGGGTAACCACTATAACATCAGGGCATAGGCTTCATCAAAGTAGGAATTCACAATTTAAACTGTGATACCATTGCCGCCTTCAGATTTGGATTTTATTATTTATAATCTTTAGATTACACAGGCTGGTGTATTTCTTCCACACGGATTAATCTTTGACTTCATTATTCCTTCATTTTCCTTTGCTACTCTACATTTTTTTCTGTTTTAAATACTTTTATTGGTGGCTCTTACATCTCTTATCACAATCCATGCATTCATCCAGTGTGTCAAGAACATTTGCACATGTCACCATAATCATTTTCAAAGCATTCTCTTCCCACTTGAGCCCCTGATATCACCTACTCCTTCTTCCCTCTTTCTCCCCCACCGACCCTCCTTCATGAACCCTTGATAAGATATAGATTATTATTTCCATATCTTACATCATCCTCTGTCACCCCTCACCCATTTTTCCGTTATTCGTCCCCGTTATAGGTTCTAATGCTACGCTACTTTTAAGAGCAAGTTTCTGAATCTTTTATAATATCCACTCTAATCTTTTCTTTCATTCCTGTCTTTATAATCACTTTTTGAGAACATCATCTTCTTTAAAATTTTTGAGGAGCACTTATTTCTGTAATCTATCTCTGTCTTATTGATATTTATGAATAAAGTTACAAACATATCTTTTCACACTGAATTTTTACGTTACATTAATACAATATTCTCATGTTAGATGTCTCAAAAGGAACTGGGTTTTAAGTATTATTATGTATTTCATTAAAATAAATATTTTTACAAAGTATAATGGGTTACCAACTTTGATTATTATCCAAAAATAATGTGAAGCTACATACTCAGGTTCTGTTAGTGGTGTAGTTTCATTTGGCTCATTCACTGGGCTCCCGTCTTCATGATTAGTAATTCTTTCATCCTCTGTTCGCATCTCGACTATTGGTTCTTTTGATCCATCTTTCCTAGAAGAAAAGACCAAACCAATCTTGCTTCTGTATTGTAAAAAGGAATGCACTATGGAATATGGAATAAAATCTCCAGTTCATTTCTATTCCACCTCAAGAAAATTAGCATAGGATTAGACTACATCAGGAATTATATTTTATTTAAAGTTAACACACCATAAACCAAAAATGTATGTATAAAAATTACACTTTTTATATATTTGTTTCCCATATTGAAATTATCTTCCCTTTTTAATCAAGAAACTAGCATATTAAATTTTATCTTCAGTTCCCTTTGGAATATATACATACATTATTTTGTTAGAAAAGTAACCAAAATATTTTTTAAAGACCATATATTTTAAAATATATAAGTAAATATTTTATTTGAAAAGACACAATATTGTTTCCATTATAATTATGAAACATTATATATAAAATGCTACTGTATTAAAATATCTATATAAATGTATATAAAATGTTTTAGCTATGCTTTGATAATTTCCATTAACATATTAACATTTTTAGATAAAATAATTTCTATAAAAACACAAGTTAACATATATGCATAGTATTTTCATTTATAAATTAATATACTAATATATTAAGGCATGATTACAATATTTCATTTGTTTTTTATAAGGTCACCATGTGCCAGAACAAGAGTAAAGTAAGCATGATTATTGCACTTTCATACTTGAAAAAAGGGGGACACCTGTTCGCCTTTTTTTTTTTTTTTTTGGTAAGGAACTGTTAAAATCCACCAGAGGTTACATATGAAGAAAGTATGTATTTCTGTTAAAAATCTATAAACATGTCCATGTACGTATACTAGAAAGCATTTGGTGATGATGAAAGGTAAAGGGAAATTGAGCAGATGAGAATGGTACATTCCTAGTGTTCTTTAGAAATTAAGTTGGGGAGGTGGAAGAAGATAGGGACAGTTGTCTTCAACTACTCAGAGATCTTATAGAACGCCTTATAAAACTTTTTCACAGCAATATAGTAAATCCCGCCTGTTTTTGACGTGCCTTTCCATCTCCAGAGGCAAAAGAGGAATAAAGAAATGCTTATATGAAGTTTTACCGTGGACTTATTTTTGAATTTAATATAATAAAAAATGAGAGTGATTGCAGAGTGGAGACTCAAAGCCCATCTGTAGGCAACTGGACGCCCTTTTATAGAAGGGTCGTGGAGAGGAGATGAGCCAGTCAGGGTGCAGGGTAGCAACAATGAAACATACAACTTTCCTCTAGTTCTTAAATGCCACCCACTCACTATCATGATCCCAATTCTACCTTACAAATTCGACTAGACCAGAGGATGTACACTGGAACAGACAGGAACTGGAACACAGGGAATCCAGGACAGATGATCCCTTCAGGAGTGGGTGGAGGGAAGGTGGAGTAGAAAGGGAGAACTGATTACAAGAATCTACATATAACCTCCTCCCTTAGGCATGGACAACAGAAAAGTGGGTGAAGGGAGACGCCGGAAAGTGTAAGATATGACAAAACAATAATAATTTATAAATTATCAAGGGTTTATGAGACAGGGGTAAAGGGGAGGGAGGAGGAAAATGAGATGATATCAAGGGCTCAAGTAGAAAGCAAATGTTTTGAGAATGATGATGGCAACAAATGTACAAATGTGCTTGACACAATGGATGGATGTATGGATTGTGACAAGAGCTGTAGGAGCCCCCAGTAAAATGATTGATTGTTTTAAAAATGATTGATAAATTGAAGTCAAAATATCCTAGTAATAAAATATTTGTAGAAAGGTTCTACTAGCTGGGAATTTTTTCTCCTAATGGTGAATGAAATTTTAAGGTAAATCTTTCTCCTACTTCAGCATATCCAACAAATGGATTATTTTTGGTATGAAAGGGGATAATGAAAACAACAACAAATTGCTTCTAATCCAAAAGAAAATATATTGGAGTGATGTTTCCTTGCTATAAAATACTATGCTGACACCAGGGGCTTAAGTGGAGAGCAAATGTTATGAGACTGACGAAGGTAACGAACGCACAAATGTGCTTTATACAATTGATGTATGTACGGATTGTGATAAGAGTTGTATGAGCCCCCAATAAAATGATTAAAAACAAAAACAAAACAAAAAAAATACTATGCTATATTGATTCATTCCTAATAACAAACAGATCTTTTTTATTATTAGACAAAGAATGCTACAAATTAATGCTATATTTCTTATATCATGAAGGAGAACATGGTTCAGGAGTATTGAGAGGTTGTGTTATATAAATATTTATCCATCAAAGAAAAAATCATGTCAATGCAAAAGAGCCAAGAAAAACAATGTTTTATTTAAAGTTACTCATCCTTGAAATGAGTTCTTAAAAAGTATGTAAACTAGAAGTGTGAAGAAAACAAACAAATAAAAACCAGTGGCCCATATATTTAATAGACCCTAGAAATGCTGAGACACAAATAAATAATAAAAATAACAAGAATGATAAAAAGAATTTGGTCGAACTGCGTTAGTATACTTTCACCATACTTATTCTATCTGTATGCTGGACACATAAAATCTGCACCATAGAAAGAAAAATGCCATATCGTCTTGGAAGAAAAGTCATGAACAAGGTGAGATATACAGATAATACAAGCGTGCCTGATGAAAGTGAAGACGTCTTGATGCCCTTATTGATGAAGATCAAATAATACAGCCTGATGTATAGATTAAAATTCAATGTAAAGAAAACAAAAATCCACACAACTGGACCACTAGCAATAAATAGAGGAAAACTGACATTATCATGTATTTCATTTTATGTGGAGATATATACACTTATGGAAGCAGCAGTCAAAATATCAAATGATGTATTTCATTGGGCAAGTCTACTACAAAAGACCACTTTAAAGTGCTAACACTCAACGGCTGTCACACAGAGAACTAAGATGCATGTATCCCAAGGCATGGTATTCTCACACACACGTGAAAATTGGACAATAATAAAGGAAGACTTCAGAAGAAATTCTGAATTTGAATTATTGTGTTGGCGAAGAATATGTTAAAGTACCACAAACTGCCAGGAACAAAATTTAAATCTGTTTAGGAAAAAGTATAGCCAGAATGCTCCTTACAAATGAGGATGGAAGGACCTCATCTCGCATACCGAGGACAGGTTATCATGAGACCCTAGTCCTGAGAAAAGGCCAGCGTACTTGGTCAAGTGGGGGGTCAGCGAAAAAGAAAAGGACTCTTCATGTTCTAGACTGACACAATAACTATAACAATGGATTCAACCATAACACTGTGTGGATGTGGCTCTGTTTTTTCTGTTGTATACAGTGTCTCCGAGTCAGAATATATTCAGTAGGACCTAACAGCAGTGCAAATGTTGGATGTGAGTATATATTATTCTTTTTTAATTATAGACTAAATTTTAAATATATTTGGAAACACAGAGATCAGCATGTTAATAACATTTATCCATATGAAGGTTAATGGCATCAGAAATAAGAGAGATGATTTTTGCTTTCTATGTTCTTTAATAATCTGAGTTTTTAAATCAATATAGTATATGTATGCGCATTAAATGAAACCAAACTCACTGTCATCGAGTTGACGCTGGCTCACAGAGACACTACAGAATGTGGTAGAACTACCCCTGTGAGTTTCAGAGACTGTCACTCTTCAAGGGAGTAGAAATCCCTTTCTTTCTCACATGGAGTGGCTGATGGCTTTGAACTGCTGACCATCCAGATTGCAGCCCAACTCATAATCATTACACTACCAGAGCTCAGTATATACATTGGTTTACACTTTTTGTACCTATGTCCTAAAAGAAATAGCAACAACTGTTAAGCTGTAATTATAGGGTTAACACCTCAAAGGATATAAATGTCTAACTGCACTCTGCCCTTTTCAGATACCACCTGGTGTATCATGATCATTGCTAGGTTATATTATTCAATAACAAGTAAAATGGACTATCAGTATACATTGGTTTTAAGCAAATAACTCATTACCTGGATATTATCAGCCCTAAATATATACAAATAAACCCTTAAACAACTAGGGATCTTGAAATATAAAAACATATGTCTTTAAAGAACAACTTCTATATTGACTTTACTTTATCTCATAAAGCATAATAAGATGTAGAAGTCGTTTTGACTAAAATAGAATGTTAATGAGATGTTTAAGAGTTTTTGATTAAAAGAGAATGGAGGAAATAAAAGCTCCCAGGCAAATATAAAACAAAAGATTTAAATCTTGAAAATACTATGCTCCATATATTTCCTTTGATTGGAAGTAAGTAAAATAATTTCCTATTCTCTTTATAATTTAAAGTGTCTTTTATGCTAGTGTTTTATGATTTCTGAGATTGAAGTTAAGACTACTCTATATAAGTAAAATTAAAAATCATATATTATTGCAATGTTTGAATTAAAACAGCTGCTGAACACTACTGCCAAATGTTCAGTAAAGCTTTTGAAAGAAATGGGAATTGAGCTATCATCCACTAATACCCCATTCACCTTGTGTTGCTATTATTCAGATATGAGATTTGATTTTCATAAATTATAGAAGAGTTGAAAGAATGAATCAAATGTGATTCATTCCAATTAGATTCTCTCATTAACTAATTATATTTGAATTATAGCTTCTTCTGTATTATTTGTAGCATTCTATGTGCCTTGTGTGCTTCAGGATTTATGACAATTTGCTAAAGTATTGAGATCTATCTTTAAATACTGATAACTTCGACTAATAATCTAATACAATTAACTCACTCACTGCATTTTGTCAAATATCCCTCATGTGGTTTTCCCTGAAGCAGGAGGGCTGTAGGTGCTGATATCCCTATTTCCACTAAGACATAAACCTGATTTACCAACATTCTTTTTTTCACGCTTTTTATTTTATAACCTTCTTCACATGTTGTCCTTCATTCAAAAATGATGGCCCGTGTGTAAGAGGACTTCATAAAGTTTGTGCAAAGTTTCATCATTTTGAATTCCATTATTCATGAACTTTCTGAA